TCGCGTAGCGACCAACCAGCCTTCTTTCTACTAAAGTAATAGTTCCAAGTTTCTGCAACATGTAGAGGTAAATATATATATATCCAACAAAGACACTGGCTTCATTGGTTTCACTAAAGACACCATAGGCGAAGGCTTTCGGTCACGCCGCGCTACTCATACCCTGCGACTACAAGCCTGCTTGGACCAAACATTTCAAAATATATCTTCCAACTTTTTAATTTCTAACTTCTGATTCGACCGTGTTGGTAAAATTTGAGTATAAATGTGTTCAGGGTGAAGGCGCTGTTAAAATCTAAATATTTATGCAATATTTCGTGGTGAGCCCAACGTGCCTGGCACTCCAAACAACGAACTATGGGTCTGCTGCTTGCTGTAGTATCATACATAATACTTTAATTGTTACTTTTTAAATATCTGGATACTACTTATACAACCTTGTTTGTTTTTGCACATTTATATACTTTATTGTCATTATGACGGAAGAAACAGCCGAATTGTTAAAAGCTAGGACTCCGCAGGGATGATACTACCGCGCGGTTTGAACAGGAACGTTACATGTGGTAGGATGCACATGCTGTTTGAAAAACGTACGACAATTTAAATAGAACTATCACTCTATGTACAGACCTAAACAACGTTTGAGTTTTTATAACTGTATATATCATTTTTTGTATTCAACTTGGTGAAGACCCCTACTGAAGTCCATTTTGTTCTAAATTCACAAAAATATACCGCAGGGCAGGTCTTAATATCACCGCTCACTCAGTAACTGAGTGTGATACATGAAATTAGATAGGGACATCTGTTAAGTACTTGATGACTATTGGTTTTGTCGTCTGACAGTAATGTGTGTTGAACGGATGTAGTAGGATTGTAAATTGAAGTTGTAGTGATACGAATGTATTTGTTTTTTGTGTTTCAGGTTTGTGAATTGACGAGGCGACTACTGTGTGTGTGACAGTGTTGTTGAGTTTGAGGTGAGTTATTGTAATTGTGTGTATATATAAAATGATTTTTTTAGGTGGATATGCTGGTGTATGAGTGAGTGAGCAACTGAATGGATGAGTGATTGTGTGATTGAGTAGTGAGTGAGTGAGTGAGTGATTGTTCGATGAGTATGGTGTTGGTGTATTTTGTTGTTGTAATCGATTAGTGATAGAGAAATGAATGGATTGAGTTTGAGTTTTGACGTGTGGATATTATTGATATTGTAGTAGTACGTGACAATGTATGTTGTGTGTGTGTGGTGGAAGTGATTGAAAATGGGTGTGTGGAACAATTGTTGGTATTTTGATAGGTAGATAGATAGATAGACAGATTGATAGTTGGTGGATAGATCGGTTGTTCGATTGACGTGTGGTAGTTATTGTATATTGATGGTGTTGTACCGTCCTCTGTGCAAAGGCGCCTGGATGTACTGTAGTCACTGGGCGTAAGAAGCAGAGGTAGATAGAAGTAGTTGGTGATGCACTGTGACTGTTGAATTGTGCATCACCACACAGTTTAGTGTGTGTTGTGTATCTGTGAAGTGTCTGGTAAGGGTGTGGTATATATTAGTGTGTATTATTGATGGCTATTGTGTAGTATTGTTATAGTTGTAATTGTTGTTGTTGTAGTTCTTGTTGTTGTTGTGAGTATTGTGGTATATATTAGTGTTTATTATTAATGGATATTGTGTAGTGTTGTTATTGTGAGTATTGTGAATGACAGTGGTGCAGTTGTTGGTGTGGTGATATGTAGGTAGGTTATGTAGGATTCAGTTGATTGGTGCTTTGTTTTGTTTTATGCAGTGTGTAGTTTAGTGTGAGTGACAGTAGTGTTGTGTAATAGTGGAATGAGTGTCGTTTGATAGAAATGTAGAAGTGTTAGTAGAACAGAGTAATTGTAGTAGTTGGCTCGTTGAGTGTTTGGAGTGAGTGAGTGAGTAGGTGGGTGAGTGGGAGATTGATGGAGTGTATGAGAGTTCGTAATGGTGGTTGTGTTAGAGTTTGTTTATTGAGTGAGTATGGTAGATTTGTGGGTGTGTTGTGTAATTTTTATGAGGAAGTAGCTTTAGTTCGTGTTTTTCCTATAGGGCTACTTCCCGAGCTTTTCACCTAGAGGTCTAGTCCATAACGCAGTGCGTCAACCTTAGGAGATATAGTCTCATAGTAGCCAGTGACGAATAGAAGGTTCGTACGCCATTTTTTATCTGTATGCTGAGGCCTTTGTATCACAGTGGCTTTGAATCAGGGTTTTCTAACTCCCTCTACGTCTATCCTCTGTATCCATCAACGAGGTTAAAGAGTCATATATTCATTTTTCGTCTATCGAATCCGATAAACGACATCCCGGCTACGATTAGGTGGTGAGTAGAACTTCCCTGACAGTGGCTGTATACGTTTAACCATGTGAGATCATTTTGAGAGGAAGAGTTGACTCTCCCCACCTTTGATTGTATCAGTGAATTTGACGGCTTTTAGTCATATCATACATAGGCATTTTTGTACTTCATATTCTAATCTGAACTGATGTAACGTAACGTGCTCATTGTACATTACTTAACTAGTAAATAAGTTTAATTATTTAGCCAGTTTTAGTCTAGTTTGAAATGATTTTTGTCTTATTGTAGCACATTCTAAAAATTCTTGAAAATGTTATTCCATGACCGTAAATTGTCAAGTCATTGTTTAATTTACTCTTCATATTCATAACATTTCATTATGGTAATCTTTTAAATAAGATTACATGTCATTAACACTAAGCCGGCATCCAGCGGTGTTAATGTCTAATCTCAACCAATCCACGAAGTTGCGCCGACCGTCTTCCATTGTACTGAAGTAGACACCTGTTTCTACCCGACACGGATCCCGCGAGCCGGATCGTGGATGCGCACTGCTGAGAAGTCCTACAATAGGACGAAACGGCCGGGAAAAGAGAAATAAGTCTGTAACTCCTCGTATAGGGGCAAGACTATAATTTGTAATCCAATCAATCAGATTTAAGATCTGGGCGGAAAAATTCACTTAACCATTTGGTTAAATAGAGTTTTAGCATTATAGCTGATATCTGTTCCTAACCCTAACTAGCAACCGTAATTTATGCTTCTAATTCCTTATACTAGTTCATTTCGTCTTAGTTATTATGTAGACACTGTCAATTACAGTTTAGCTTCGCTCAATGGTCACTTACTAACAGTGAAACAGACTATTATATCAGATAAAATCACAGTATAATAGTTAACTCTATGATAGGGTTATTCAATAAGATTTATCTATATTACCTGTTATTTATTCTACTTATTTCAACACAAGAAGGCGTCAAATAGATAAGTAAATCATTTGATTTGTATAAGTGCTGAATTACTGTATGGGTGATCCAGACTGAATCAGGTGGGGTTTTTTTTTCTTTAAAGGACTATACCCTGAAGATTTCAACCTAAAGGTCTAATCCATAAGATAGTGGAACAACATTAGGAGATGCAATACTATACGTCATTTGTTCCTTTCAGAATCCTGGAGCCAACCCTATATGTACCATTGGTTTGAAATCAGAATCTCTCAAATTCCCTAGATATATCTACCGTGTTCCACCGAAACACGATTAAATCACCGAACATTCATTTTTCATGTTGTCAATTTCGTAAATAACACTCTAGTGATGAGATGACAGTGACTGTATACACATGGCCATGTGAAAGGATTTCGAGAGAGAGAGAGCGAGAGAGAGACAGAGAGAGTGGAGTCATCTCACTCTCGATCGAATCGAGGCATTTTGGGCCCTTAAATGATATGCAAAGACATATCAAAAAAAAAAAGAAACAAACAAACAAACAAAACAAACGTTTTATTCTGATTGTTTAATTGAAATTCTATTTACAAAATAGAAAGAAAAAAAAAGTTAAAGAAAATTACTAATGTTTTAATCTTTTCATTGTTCTTTTTTTTTCGTCTTTTAGTTTCATTTAAACATTGAACAAAATTTCCAAGAATAAATAAACAATAATTCTTTACCTAATTAATTCAAAGTTCAATGATCTCAAAATTTGTTTGTTTGTTTGTTTTTAAAAAAGAAAAAGAAAATAGGGCGGGAAAGTTGAATAAATTAAATCATTGAATCCTATCAATAATTTTGTAAATACATCGATAAATTAACAAATTTTAATATATTATCTACACACGTATACACACACACCCCCTATGACAACGATAATGACGCCATCACCACTACCACCACCACCACCACCATCACCACTGATGTCACAGGAATGCGTAAGCAACTATGTATATGCATGCATTAGCTAAAATTACATAGATAATTATGTATATATAATTCAATTGTTCTACTTAAGCAAAAAAGCAGTAGAAATATTGGTAGTAGTAAAACAACTACACACGCACACACACGCACGCACACACAGAGGGAGAAAGAGAGAAACAGAAAAACAGGGAGATCATAGAAACTAACTAGGGCCAAGAGATTGTGTGTGTATGTATGTATGTATGTATATATGTATGACCATGGATGCATACAATTTATCGAATTAGTAGCCAAGGCAACAACAACAACAACAAAAATTTCACTATTCTTAGTTAACAGGGGTAAAATTCATTATATCACACTAGAAAAAAAAAATTTTAAAATCCTAATCATTTTTTGTTTATTTCAATTAAATAAAAATGAAAAAAAAACCAACTATTCTAATTGACAAACCTAAAAGGAAATTTGTTAAATAACTGCTTATCTATGAATAATTCATTATTAATATGATGATGATCATGATGATGATGATGATGATGATGGAAATGATTCGAGTTAGTGATTAAATAAGAAAAGTTCTGTGACATATCATTCTAATATAATCTATTAACCATCATTTAATCATATTCTCAATAATAAACAAATTTTCAATTTAATTAAGGAGAAGTTTATAAAAAGAATTTATAAATCATCAAAATAATTAGGGTGGAGAGTGGATGAAAGAAAATATTTTGGTCCCATGATCTATCCATCCAACCAAAAAAAAAAACAACCCACCCGCCCACCCAACTACTCCCCCCCCTCAAAAAAAACAGGAGTGTGATTATTAGGGAGTTCAATTTCTTAAATTCAAAAAAAGAAGAAAAAGGAACAATAAGCTAAAACTGTTAAATAAATGATTTTTTTTTAAAAATTAGTTACTAAGGTGATGAATCATGATAACTTGGTGGTGGTCTTTCATTATTATTAATAATAAATGATGATTGTGGTATAATTGATAAACTATCATTTAAATGATCATGAATACCATCTAATGTATCATTATTATTATGATTATTATGATTATGTTGTAAATATTGTTCATCTAATGCATCAACAGAAGCTGCCATTTCTATACGTGTTGCTTCAGCATCTTCTTCTGATAAACTATTTAATATACCTAATGTATTAGTATTAATATTATTCATAGTTGATGATAAAATTGTATTTTGTTCATGTTGTTGTTTTATTGAAGTAGATGATGGTAATATAATTAATTCATGATTATCATTAATTGATAAAATCAATGATTGACGTATTTCTAATTGAGATAAATCATTTCTAGGATTATTAGCAACCATATTAGAATGAGTATAACCTTTTCTCAATAAGGGATGATGATAATGATGATCTATTGATGTATTTGAAGGATTTTGTTTTATACCATAATGAGATAAACAATTAGATGATGGATAATAATAATCATAGAATGATGGTGTACTACGTTGTTTATAAAATTTCCAATTACGTAATAATTGTATAGCACTTGTTGTAGATACATCAGAATTATCAACATTCTTTCTATCCATTGACTATATATATATATAAGTAAAAGAAAAACAAAATGCAAATATAATTGAGTATTTTGTTCATTTCAATGAATGAGATCTCGTGTTGGTAGTGGGGGGTGGGGCAAGATCGTGAATACGCATTGCCATTGAGAAGTCCTATAATAAAATGAAACAGCCGTCCAGTGCTTCAAGGTTTTTCATGGTGGTGGTCTAGCTTCAATGGACTCATGATTTCAACCAGTGAAATTTCAAAGAAAATCTCCACACAACTTGCTCTGATAATAATATTCATATACTCATTATTGAATGACTTAAAAGACAGTCCTAGAGTTCCAGTAAGAAATCATGACCAGTGGAGTTCTATCAGGTCTGTTGTGAGATATCAGGTGTACGGTGGCGCAACTTCGTGGGTTGGTTGAATTTAGATATTAACACCGTTGGATGTTGACCAGCTTAGTGGTCTAATGGTTAAGCGCTAGCGCGCGTGACTGATAGGCCCTGGATTCGAATCTCACAGGGTGCGGGATCGTGGATGTGCACTGCCACTGAGGAATCCTGTACTAGGACGAAACGGCCATCCAGTGCTTCTACGTTTTTCATGGTGGTCTAGCTTCAATTGATTCATGATTTCAATTATTAAAATTTCGAAAATCTACACAAAACCCCTTCTGAAAATTCAAATATTAGCTAATTAGTATAACGTATGTGTGTTATATCTCGAGTTCATTTGTGGATATGCACAGAAAATAAAAGTGACACACTAATTACATGAAATTCTGACCAATATGTTAAATGAAAGACGATAAAATTTTACCGATTACATAACAAGTACTCGCCTAATACGATTACTCATTGAAGTTACAATGTAACACCAAGCACATATATACATCGATCCAAGTTGCCGTACCTCATTAGCACAGCAAGATGAATACCGGATTCATAGGAGTAGATAATTCAATGATAGTAATATATAAAAGAAAGATTACATATAACGATATAGTACAGGAACAAAGAATTAGTTTGTAGAAAGTAAGATATGAAGCGATTTTAATCTTACAGTTTAAAGGAAGACAGAGAATGTATACACCTATGCAATTATGGTCGATTCTGAGCCATGTCACACACTCTCCAACCATTGGTTACGATTATCAATATTTTCCTAATTGTTTGTGCGGTGTGTTCCCGTTAGTTACTTATATACTCATGTACCCTTTTATACTACTCTAAAATCGGGAACCAGATAGAAATAGGGGATAAATCGAGTAGCATTCCAGTTGACTTATCTTCTCTCTCTCGCACGTGCTTTTCAGCCAATGAAGTGATAGAATAGTTTTCGTCTCTCTACTCCAAGCAGTTCGTCTCACTTTTAACTTACGCATACTAGCCTTAAGGTTAAGCCAGTCAGTCTATCGCGTCCAGATTAAAACAAGCTATATTCTGCATATTAGCGAGCAGACAGATCAAGGAAGGAATCTGATGGCAATCTGGGCCATTTTTGGCGCCTTCGTGGTGTCAGTCGAATCTACAACTCGTCAGTGAGAACAGTTTTGCACTATGATTGTAAAAACTGGTCTCTCCGAGTTAAGGATGTTAGATGACTCTCTGTGTTTGATCATTGTTGTCTCCGAAGGATTGCTGACATCCAGTGTCAACACCATGTCAATAATGAGTGTGTTCGGGCACAGCGACGATAGTTCAATTAGTGTTGCTATATTGATACATCGACTTCAGTGGCTTGAACATGTTTTACGAATGTTGTCCAAGATAATTCCACGTCATGCATTAATCACCGACGCTGGAAAAGGAGGAGAGGTGGTTAGTGCATGAGATTGTGTCATTGTATGAAGAAAAGCCGTACAGGACTGGTTTATGATGGTATTTCACGACTCCCTGGTTGAGATCCTAGACATAGTGAAACACATTGGTTTCAGTAGTTATCAGGCGTGTTTAGAACAGAAGCCAAGGACGATCCTGCAGTAACTTTATCTTACTTCATAAAAAATGAACTAAAAGAATTCTCTCTGATTGTACTTTTACTAACTGAACTACCTCTCCCATTATTATTATTTTTATTATTATTTCACTATCATACACTAATTTATGTTTGTTATTGTTCCCATTTTTGCTATACATGCCTTACATTCTATATCTTTTGATATTTTGATTGTTATTGTGCGGTGCATACGTATTCAGTATTTATCTATTTTAGCACATAGATATTGGTACAAAGTGGCACCAAATACACATGCGTCACACAGATCTCATTTGATATGTGTGAAGGCTGTGATATTGCTCGGGTGCCCAAACTGAAACAAGTAGTCTCCCTAGGGGACCACACCCCGAGCCTTCAACCTGATAGTCTGATCCACAAGGCAGTGGAGCATCGTAAGGAGATGCAGTCCTATGGTAGCCGGTAACCAACGATTGGTTCATATGACATTTGTTCCCTCAGGATACTGGATCCAGCCCATGTGCACCATTGGTTTGGGATCTGGTTAAAGCTCTGGACATTCGCCTTTCGTCCTCTCATTTTCGTAAACAACACCCCAGCTGTGAGAAGGCAGTGAGTAGGACTTCCCAGGCAGAAGCTGTATACGCGTGGCTATGTGAGAGCATTTCGAGAGGAAGAGCAGACTCTTAGCCATACAAGGGCATTTGCCCCCCCCCCCACTTTGTATGAGTCGAAACAAGTAAACATCAAAAAAAGAAAAAAAAACTCACATGAAGAAAATCATTTTTATCATCTTGCATACATAAACTAAGTTCAGTTGAATTATCATCTATAAATTGTTGATTTGTTGATGTAATAACCTGTTGTGAATTATTTCTTTGTTGTCCTTCATTTTGATTATGTAATAAACCATGCATTAATGATGATGATGAAGAAGATAAATGATTATGTAAATCTTTCAAAAATGAATTATTTGGTAAAATTCTTAATAATTCATTATTATTATTATCATTATTATTATTATTATGATTTAAATATAATTTTCGACGATTATATGGTTCATATAATAATAATCCTATATTATTATTATTATTATTTTTACATTTATCATTTCGACTACTTATATTATTTTCAGTAGTTAAAGTAATATTACTTAAATGTTGATTAACAATTTTTTTTCGTTGATTACACATTATTGATAGACTAAATGTAATAATAAATAAAATAGTTAAAAATGTAATAAATACAGCTAATAATAATGAACCAGCTATCCATATCATATTTAAATTATTATATATAGAATATTTTTTAGAATAATTAGATTTAAATGATTGTAGTATATAACTATTTCTATGATCAGAATCATGATCATGATTGGATTGACTTAATGATGAACTAGATCTATTAATTAATGGTAGTAATATTGGATAACCATATGAATTCACATAGAGAATTTGTATAGAAGAATGATTTGATTGTTTATTATTATTATTATTATTATTATTATTATTATTATTATTATTATTATTATTATTATTAAACCATAATAATTTATTCTGGCATATTGATTTTAATACTTGTCTATTCTGATGTGTATATAATAAGATATCATCAATACATACATTAGTTGTACTCAATATAGATAATAATTGTATAGAATTAATAGCAATCCAATGATCTGATTGTTCTAAAAGGGTATCATGAAAGTTTGAATGATGTTCATATTGATTAGTTTGATTAGACGGTGTATTAAGATGAGTATTAGTGATAGTAGTAGTAGTAGTAGTCGTAGTAGTAGTAGTAATAGTAGGATAGATAGGCATGGAAACATTAATCCATACATGATATGGTAATGTATTATTTTCTAAATCAGATATTTCTTGACGTAATATTGACCAATCTAATTTAGATAGAGTAGATGAATGATATGATGATGATGATGTTTCAGCATTTTGTCTAAGATCATCATCATCATCACCATCATCATCATTGTAATTTTCATGATATGCATTTGTATACGATTCTTCAATATTAAATACATTTCGAATGATTTGTTTATTTGAACTAAACATGAGAAATTTAAAAGGAAAATATATACATCATAACAATATAGTGTAAGTTTAAATGAATGTTTAAACAAGTGCTAATTTAGAATTCTAAAGGGAAATGAAAAAGAGGAAGGCTAAACAATACATTAAGTTGGAAAATGGGAGCAGATATAAAAACGATGAATAACAACTAGAAAGGATTGTCTAGAACAGCATTGGATGGAAAGTGCTGGTGGTACAGCCTATGCTCGTTCACGGGGATTCACAGACGTAAATAAGTAAGTCAGCATGATATTTTATTATTTATTATTTTAACACATAGATATCGGTACAAGAAGGCACCAAATACATATGCGCCACACAGATCTCATTTGATATGTGTGAGGACTGTGATACTGCCCGGGTGCCCAAACCGAAACAGGTGGTTTTCTTAGGGGGCCACACCCCGAGCCTTCGACCTGAACGTCTGATCCACAAGGCAGTGGAGCATCGTGAGGAGATGCAGTCCCATGGTAGCCGGTGACCAACGATTGGTTCATGCGCCCTTTGTTCCCGCAGGATACTGGAGCCCATGTGCACCATTGGTTTGGGGTCCGGTTATAGCTCCGGACATTCGCTTTTCGTCCTATCATTTTTGTAAACGACACCCATGGTGCGAGAAGGCAGTGAGTAGGACTGCCCTGGCAGGGGCTGTATACGCGTGGCCATGTGAGAGCATTTCGAGAGGAGGAGCGGACTCCCCCCACTCTCGGCCATACCAGGGCATTTGGGGGCAGTCAGTATGATAAGCTTTTATTTGACCCATTAACTATTTTTTATACGATTTACTATTGTTAATTTATTACCAATCTATTAGTTATATAGTCTCTCATATTTACAGTCACTTATGACTTGATCTTCTATAATTAGTATCTTTCATTTTATGGTTTGATGTGATCTCGTCTACTTATATATAAACACCTTTTGTCTATAATATATTATTCGTATAGTAGAGATTGATTATTCTGTTCTGGACTGAACTGGTAGGGTAGGTAGGGTAAGAAACTACTGTATTGACGATCAATAAGGATTAATTTAGAGGTTAACTCAAGGCTATTTGGTGTTGCACATTATCGTGTCATTAGTTACCTTAACAAAAACGTCATACAAATGGATATTCTGATTAATGATTTTGTCACGTACTATTAGACAGGGTTGTAATTATGTAGTAACATAAAGTAGTTGCAATACATAGACGAAATGATTAAATTCGAATAAAACTTCTCAGTCAGTAACAACGTAGAACTTCGTATATACGTACATCAGTTCGAGTTGCCATACCACATTAGCACAGAGATGTAGTTGTCGATTCAAATTCCATAGTGGTAGAGGTGGTAAGAGTATAAGCAGAAATCGGAAGGACTAGGGTTTGAAGATGTTATTCAAAGAGTATAATCCAGTGAAATAAATTTGTAAAGAGAAGAAAGAAAGGGACATGAAGAATTCAGAAGATTAGAATTTTGGAGAACACAAAAAGTGGATGCACCTGAGCCATTGAGAACGATTTTGAGCCATGTCATTCAAGGCCCCCAAATGCCCTGGTACGGCCGAGAGTGGGGAGAGTTCGCTCTCCCTCTCCAAATGCTCTCACATGGCCATGCGTATATAGCCTCTGACAGGGAAGTCCTACTCACTGCCTTCTCGTGGCGGGGGTGTTGTTTACAAAAATGAGAGGACGAAAAGCGAATGTCCGGCGCTTTAACCGGACCTCAAATCAATGGTGCACATGGGCTCCAGTATCCTGAAGGAACAAATGGCGTATGAACCAATCGTTGGTCACCGGCTACCATGGGACTGCATCTCCTCACGATGCTCCACTGCCTTGTGGGTCAGACGTCCAGGTCGAAGGCTCGGGGTGTGGCCCCCTAAGAAAACCACCTGCTTCGGTTTGGGCACCCGGGCAGTATCACAGCCCTCACAATTATCAATTGAGATTCGTGTGGCGCATATGTATTTGGTGCCTCCCTGTACCTATACTTATGTGTTAAAATAAATAAATAAATAAATAAAAGGTCTCTAACCATCGGTTGCTATTATCTAGCGGACCCCAACCAGGTAGTCTACACCTACCAACATGGCTAAGTCCACTTGTCAGTAGTGAGTTCATGGATTTGTGCCATGTTTTGGTCTGGCCGCCCCTGGCTTTCTTCCAACCTACTTCTATACCATTGAAAATCGCACATCGGGGCAGTCGATGGTTGGGCATACGTAACACATGTCCAAGCCCAACACTAAAAAAGGTATAAAAATGTTCCATAAATTTATTGTTTCTTTACCAATCACACTGTTCAATCTTTCTTACTATCATTGATGTTATCAATTTTATCTCAATTCACTGATATAGTACAGTAATATGAACTCAGTTCATACTTTGATTGCCCCCAAATACCCTGGTATGGCCGAGAGTGGGGTGGACCCGCCCTCCCTCTCGAAAAATTCCCACACGGCCACGCGTATACAGCCTCTTCCAGGGAAGTCCTATTCACTGCCTTCTAGTGGAGGGGGTGTTTTTAACGAAAATGAAAGAACGAAAAGCGAATGTCCAGAGCTTTACCCAGATCCCAAACCAATGGTGCACATGGGCTGGATCCAGTATCCTGAAGGAAAAAATGGAGTATGAAGCAATCGTTGGTCACCGGCTACCATGGGACTGCATCTCCTCACGATGCTCCACTGCCTTGTGGATCAGACTATCAGGTCGAAGGCTCGGGGTGTGGCCCCCTAGGGAGACTACCTGTTTCAGTTTGGGCACCCGAGCAGTATCACAGCCCACACACAAATAAAATGAAGATTTGTGTGGTGCATTTGTATTTGGTGCCCTCTTGTACCAATATTTATGTGCTCAAATAAATAAATAATAATAATGTACGTTGAGTGGGACTAATTGACTGATTATATACATTTTAATTGGTTCCAGTTGCGTTTCTTCGTAACAACTGCTATAGGACAAGCTATATATATATATATATATATATATATATATATATATATATTCGAAATGTGGTCCAAAAGGAATGGTATGATCGGAAAATGAATAGCACTGAATTAGAGTGATAAGAATTTGAGAAGAAGATATGATATGATATGAATTAACACTGTAGTGTGCTACTTATATAGACGTAAGTAGTATATGATGTTGTATCTCCTCATTTCTGCAGCAATTTCGAAGACTCTCCCGGTCTCCCACATTGTACATGCATTCCATGTACTAAATAAATGGTTGCTCTGGTTGTCAAATACTGGTCGGAGGCCTATGCTCCATTAGGAGTAATAGGCGTAAGTAAGCAAGTATATGATGTTAGTCGTGAACAGAATATCTGGCAGCAGAGAGACAATAGGATCAAACAGTATAGAATGAAAACAGAATGCAATTTGTATGGAAATGCTAGAATAAAAGAAGTCTGAATGATTTTGAGGCAATTGATGGACATTTTGCAAATTAAGCATTTATTATAGGATTGTTAGATTTTTTTATGGCAAATATATTCGATTGTTCCCCACTGGTGTTCTATTCACTATAACACAACCAAATGCCACTGAATTTCAACTACACTATCAGGTATCCAGTACCTTTTAATATAATTCAAACCGAAATTTAATAACCTTTTAAACTGGTATCACGGTTTAGTCTGTTAGCTACCATTCATTATTCACGTCAAGTTTACAGATAAGCGACTTTTTCTCCTTCCTTCTGTCAAATTTCAACCACTTACTAACTCCATATTACTTAACTTGGTTGTTTGAGTTTTGTATGAATTGCAGTAATATACCTGGAACCTCTAAGAACAGTACGCTATTTCACTAAACCTATAATCATAAACTGATCAATGTTAACGAAAACAACTAAGCTCAGTGAAAGCACAACTAATGGGAAATCATGTTCCAATACAACACTCAGTTATACATCCGATCTTTAAGAGACTAATAGTCCCTCTAGGTTTCGAAAATACTTAATCCAGATCCAAAATGTAAGATATTACAATCAAAATAGTTAGGTAATAACTAGTTCTTCTGCAAAACTGAGAGATTTACAGTTACCGTTTATCAAGAATTGACCAATTAATGGCATTATAGCCACTAATGACATAAAATGAACGTAATATCTGAAATGAAAGATCAAGTGAATAATATAAGCAATAAAAGGGAAGATTAATCAAAATCCCTTGTCAACATCTGTAGAAGTATTGAAAACGCTAGAAAATATTTAACCCAATCAGCATCGAATAAAATCTTTTAAAAAAACATCTAGGAAAAATTATGTGTCATTTGTCACATATTTATTGAATAATAAGATATATCTGTGAGGACAGGCCATAGGTGAACTCGAGAAAGCTTTAAGAAGTTCAGAAAGAGTTGAAGATATTCCATCCAATCATCTTTCAGGAAAATATTCCAGAATCCCTATGTGTAACTTCCTTATTGGATGAATGATAATAACTCCCTGTGTGTGGATTGGATAACTATAATTGTGATTTCGTTTTTACTAAAAATTATAAATACCTGACAATTTTGTACCATAATTGATACTGTTTAGAATAACTTTTCTTTCACTTGTCTTTTGTCTTCTCATTTGCGATTTGGGAGGGTTCTTGCATCTAAGGGTTCAATTTATACGCAGCATATCAAGAATCCAAGTTCTAGATATAACAGTATCGTTGGTTTTCGAAATTTTCTAGAAGAACAAGCCCCCAAATGCCCTGGTACGGCCGAGAGTGGGGAGAGTCCGCTCTCCCTCTCGAAATACTCTCACACGGCCACGCGTATATAGCCTCTGACAGGGAAGTCCTACTCACTGCCTTCTCATGGCGGGGGTGTTGTTTACGAAAATGAGAGGACGAAAAGCGAATGTCCGGCGCTATAACCGGACCCCAAACCAATGGTGCACATGGGTTGGCTCCAGTATCCTGTGGGAACAAATGGCGTATGAACCAACTTTTGGTGACCGGCTTCCATGGGACTGCATCTCCTCACGATGCTCCACTGCCTTGTGGGTTAGACCGTTAGGTCAAAGGCTCGGGGTGTGGCCCCCTAAGAAAACCACCTGCTTCGGTTTGGGCACCCGGGCAGTATCACAGCCCTCACACAAATCAATTGAGATTTGTGTGGCGCATATGTATTTGGTGCCTCCCTGTACCTATACTTATGTGTTAAAATAAAATAAAAAAACAATACATTTGACTCTGTACATGACTGACCTTGGAATATAACTCTTGAGATGATGGAGAAGATTTGTAGCTCAAGTGAATGATTTTGATAAAGTTTTGTTCTCTAAGCCGGATGGTTTGGTCGTGCAGCTTTGATTACTCTTCTGTACGACATCATCAGCACAAACTTCAAGTATTGTACACGACAAACTGTGAACCACATATAGAGAAATTCAAACTCTTCACTTCTACTTGACGTTTATACTGATGATGAGCCCCCAAATGCCCTGGTAAGGCCGAGAGTGGGGAGAGTTCGCTCTCCCTCTCCAAATGCTCTCACATGGCCATGCGTATATAGCCTCTGACAGGGAAGTCCTACTCACTGCCTTCTCGCACCATGGGTGTCGTTTACAAAAATGATAGGACGAAAAGCGAATGTCCGGAGCTATAACCGGACCCCAAACCAATGGTGCACATGGGCTCCAGTATCCTGCGGGAACAAATGGCGTATGAACCAACCGTTGGTCACCGGCTCCCATGGGACTGCATCACCTCACGATGCTCCACTGCCTTGTGGGTCAGACGTTCAGGTCAAAGGCTCGGGGTGTGACCCCCTAAGTAAATCACCTGCTTCGGTTTGGGCACCCGGGCAGTATCACAGCCATCACACAAATCAATTGAGATTTGTGTGGCGCATATGTATTTGGTGCCTCCCTGTACCTATACTTATGTGTTAAAATAAAATAAAATAAAAACTGATGATGTCGTTCAGAAGAACGAAAAAACTCCACGATCAAATCATCCATCTCAGAGAACAAAAATTCAATTTATTTACTTATTTGAACACACAATTATTGGTACAAGGTCGCACCAGATACACATGCGCCACACAAATCAAATGAGATTTGTGTGAGGGCTGTGATACTGCCCAGGTGCCCAAACCGAAACAGGTGGTTTTCTTAAGGGGCCACACCCCGAGACTTCGACATGAAGGCCTGATCCACAACGCAGCGGAGCATCGTGAGGAGATGTAGTCCCATGGTAGCCGGTGACCAACGATTGGTTCATACGCTATTTGTTTCTTCAGGAGCTAGCTCATGTGTACCATTGGTTTAGAATCGGAGTTTTCTAACTCTCCTAGATGGACTCTCTACGTCCACCGACCCGGTTACAGTGCCGGACATTCGCTTTTCGTCCTCTCAATTTCGTGAACAACACCCCTGCCACGAGAAGGTAATGAGTAGAACTTCCCTAGCAGAGGCTATATACGCGTGGCCATGTGAGAGCATGTCGTGAGGGTGAGCGGACTCTCCCCACTCTCAGCCGTACCAGGACATTTGGGGGCCAAGTTAAAGAGTCATAGTAATAGTCTATAGTTATAGAGAGAGTCCAAGAAGTCAGCAATAAGTATTCCCAGTAACAGACATATCATCATTCGAAAGACATAAACTCAAAGAAGTCACATTACTAACTCGATTCCATTTACATATGAATCATATATACATTATAAAATAGACTCACCCCAAACTTAGAACAACTTGACTACCTAATAGATTATTATGATTTGATAGAAATTTGATTTTTAATTGTAAACAAGCTATTGGATATAATTTAGAAAATCTATATAATTGTTTTGTGCTGGTAATAGATTGATTGAATTGTTTGATTTGATGTAAAATATTAGATCGTTTTGGTCTTCTTATATTTGATGATGAAAATGACGACTGATTTGAATTAGATGCTGTAACATCTAATGGTGCAATTGGTTTAGGTGTTATATAATATGTTGGCCAATGAATTGGTAATTTCATATAGGAATATTGATTATGATTAGTGGAACATGGGAAATAATTCACTGTTGGAATAATAACAGATGGGAATTCCATATATTGATTTGATGATAGTTTAGCCTAGAATTTGAGGAGGAGGAGGAGGAGTAGAAGAAGAAGAAAACAAAAGATGAATTTAGATTATATTGAATTTCTAATGGATTTGTACTAGAATCAGAATGGGTTTTATAGAGATTGTAGTAATTTCAATAATTGAGATCATGAGTCAATTGAAGCTCATTAGTGACGATCACCAAGATGTATTTCCTGGAGTATTCTAGTGAAAAGCCGTGACCAGTGAAGTTCAACCGGGTCTGTTGTGAGATGGTAACTCACTGAAGACAATGGTGGATGTGTCGATCAATCTCGTGGATTAGTTGAAGTTAGACATGAACACCTTTGGATGCCGGCTTAGTGGTCTAATGATTAAGCGCTCGTGCGCGAGATTGGTAGATCCTGGGTTCTAATCCTGCGAGGCGGGGTCGGGGATGTGCACTGCTGAGGATTCCCATGATAGAAAGAAACGGCCGTCCAGTGCTTCCAGGTTTTCCATGGTGACCTAGCTTCAATTGACTCATGATCTCAATTATTTGATTTGTACTACTTTATAATTACTCAGTTGTATTGTAGTGTGAGCTACTTATATCCACATAAGTAGTATGTATCGATAGTCAAAAATAGAATGTATTTCAGTAGAAGATCAAAAAAGAAAGGAACGGAAACGGAAACGAAAACCAATTGGTATGAAAACACAGGAACAATGAAATCTGAGACGATGGATAGATATTTTGCAAATTAAGTATTCACTGTATTCTTCTCACATTTTACTGAGATGTTTTATAATTTTGTCGTCAAATATATTCGATTGTCTTTACTCGTGTTCTTTTTCACTACAGTATGATGAGTTACAATCTTAAAACATTAGTGAACCTAAGATCTATGGATTGTTATGCATAATTGAGTGGTTATTAGATTATAATTATCGTACAGCAACTATAGTAATATAATTTTAATAGTTGAGATCATGAGTCAATTGAAGCTAGGTCACTATGGAAAACCTGGAAGCACTGGACGGTCGTTTTGTTCTACTGTGGAACTCCTCAGCAATGCGCATTCACGATCCCGACTCGCGAGATTTCAACCCAAGATCTATCACTGTCGCGCTCGAGAGCTTAACAATTAGACCAATGACCTGACATCCAACGGCGTTAATGTCTAACTTCAACTAATCCACGAGATTGATCGACACATCCACCATTGTCTTCAGTGAGTTACTATCTCACAACAGACCCAATTGAACTCCGCTGGTCACTGCTTCTCACTATAACACTCCAGGAAATACCTCTTGGAGACCGTCACTAGTGAGCTTCAATTGACTCATGATCTCAATTATTGAAATTACTATAATATCCACAAAACCCCTTCTGATATAGTGACATAGATAAATACTCTAGCAAACTAAAATGCATATCAGTAGTATATATTGCTTTCCTTTTTTAAAGAAGTTCCATCAGAGAGAAAACTCATTAGACATAAACTGAATTTTACGATGAACATTTTCCAGATAGTACATCTCAGCATCTATTTGACTTAACTACTACGACTATTACTAATGTCAGTTCAACCAATACTCATTATGAATTAGTCTGTTTAAGAGAAATATAGAGAGTGAAGAAAGAAAATATTTTTACTAATAGCTTGATTTATTGTAAACTATATTTTATTATCTATTTAAACACATAAACATCGGTGCAAAGAGGCAGCAAACGGATAAGCGCCAACATAAATCATTTGATTTGTTTGTGAGATACTATCCGGGCCCCCAAACCGAAGTAGGTGGTTTTCTTATAGAGCTACACCTGGAGCGTTCAACTTAATGGTCTGATCCACAAGAAAGTGGAGCAACGTTCGAAGATGCAGTCCTATACTAGCCAGTAACAAATGATTAGTTCATGCGACATTTGTTTCTTCAGGATACTGGAGCCCATGTACACCATTGTTTCAGAATCAGAGTTTTCCAACTCCCTTAGATGCACTCTCCATGTCCACCAACACGGTTAGAGTAGTGGACATTCACTTTTCGTCCTCTCAATTTCGTAAATAACATCCCTGCTGTGAGAAGGTAGTGAATAGGACTTCCCCTGGTAGTGGTTGTATACACTTGAGAGCATTTATAGAGGGAGAGCTAACTCTTCCCACTCTCAGTCGTACCAGGGCATTTGAAGTCCACAAAACATATCATTCATTCATTGATTTATTGTTACAATAATCCAGAAGTTAAAGAACTAAAGTAAAGATCAATAAGTAATAGGCACAACAGCTTTATATTCTGGTTCAGTATCTCCCTTTCATTAACTTCTACTTTGTTTAATCATCTTTTTATTCATTCTACTCTATCAATCCTTGCTGATTACCATGTAACTGAGAATAGAACTAACAGACTGAATACATATTGATTGATAATAAATACATTTTGTATTGGTATATTCTTCATATTCAGAGTACATTGTTCAACTATATTTAATTGTAATCACTTCAGAAATGTGATATACAGTAGATCATGCTTTTTAAAAGAACTAATAAAAAAGTAGTTTGTAAGTTTGTATTAAAACAAATGCGACACTAAAGGATTTAAACGTTTCGCAACTGAATGTAAGTTACTTCTTCAGAGATTAAATAAACAAATTTAATTAGATCAAGTCGTGATTTCCATAAAATTAAATTAATACACGTTTCATTAGTAGTAGTAGTAGTTCAAAGGAACAATGCAAAACTATTTTGTACAATCCATCAATCAATCAAAAAAACAGGTCTGATCAAGTCTATTTATTATGTCACTCCGGTCAAGGTTTATTTATTTATTTATTTGAACACATAAATATTGGTACAGGGGGGCACCAAATATATATGCGCGTCAAGGTAGTTTTTATAAGATAGATATACTTGTATATTTTTGTGTATGGTATAGTAATAAATGTGATAAATGCCGCCAACTACCCTGGTACAGTTGAGAATGCGGAGAATCCTCTCACCCTCTCGAAATACTCTCACATGACCACGAGTATATAACCTCTGCTTGGGAAGTCCTACTCACTGCTTCCTCGTGGCGGGGGTGTTGTTTACAAAATTGAGGAAACGAAAAGCGAATGTCCGGCGTTTTAACCGGATCCCAAACCAATCGTGCACATGGGCTAACTCCAGTATTGTTAGGAAACAAATGGCGTATGAACCGATCGTTGGTCACCGGCCACCATGGAAATACATCTCCTTACGATGCTTCACTGCTTTGTGGATCAGATCTTCAGGTCGAAGGTTCAGGGTGTGACCCCCTAATAGAACCCACCTGTTTCGGTTTGGGTACCCGAGCAGTATCACAGCCCACACACATATCAAATGAGATATGTGTGGCGCATATGTATTTGGTGCCTCCTTGTACCAATATCTATGTGTTAAAATAAATAAATAAATAAAATTCTATTGAATTAAGTTATTTAAGAAAATTTAAGGATGACTAAACATTCACAATCATAAATATCATATAAAGAAATATAAGGAAACATACCAAAAGCCTACACAACTATTTAAAAAAAAGAAAACAGATGAATGTGAAAAGGTCACATAATGGATCATTTGGCCGTTCATTATGGGACTGATGATTTTATGAAAATATGGAATAGTATACATCATTATATAAATATATATGGAATTGCTATGTTAAAGTGATTACAAGTTCAGTTAGTCTGCGAACGGAACAAAGACTCAGTGACCAAAGACCAATAAACTAGCTATTCTGTTGCGTCTCAGCCTCGTTAACTAGAGAGAGAAATTGAAGTTCGGATGGGGAAGTATATTCCGTGAAAAGTCAGAAGCACGAGCGATAACATCAGATACAAATCAAAACAGTCAGTCAGGTATAACTTAGAACCAGGCAAATATATGTATTGCCATACCGCATTACCATAGCAAGATAAACATCGGATTCATAGTAGTTAAGTCAATGATGGTAATATATAAAAGAAAGATTGCATATAAGGAGATAGTACAGGAAGAAAGAATTAGTTCGTAGAAAGAAATATGTGAAGTGATTTTAATCTCTTAGTTTAAAGGAAGACAGAGAGTGTATACATCAACTGATTTACGATCATTCCCTAATACCCTGCGTCTAACCTCACTTGTACTTACCCGGTGATCCCAGCAGATACCAGCAATATTTCTAAGGCATCTGTGGTCAAATACTTGTAGCTTACGAGTATATTCTACGCTTAATGGTCACGTTTTGCAGCCATTTAGTAGAACGGAACGAACTGCCGCGCAGTATACTCGTCCCTTAAATGACAGACAGATATCTCGCCTTCGCCATAGGTGACGTAAGTTGGCAAAAGCTAAGCGAGCTTTTCGAATCCGTGCTGAGATTTCATCAGACACTAACCCATTTGGGCTGATTACACTTCCAAGATAAGTGAAGTTGTCAACGTATTCGACTACTTCATTCCCTATCCTTAGTTCCGGTGTTGACGCAGACCAGTCCTGAAGCGACAACTTGCATTTAGAGAGAAGCGCATACCAAACATTTTGGCATTGTTGCTCAGTGCTACCAAAAGACTCTTCATTTTATCATCGTCTTCACTAAACAGGACTATGTCATCTGCGTATTCTAAGTCGATAAGTGAACCTCCTGGAAAGAGATCGATACCTGTCTGGCATGGTAGAACCTTGAAGAACGGTTGTTCCAGCCAGTATAGTTCGGTTGCTTCATAACGATATGCAAGTCCGACCACCACGTCAAGGTAGCAGCAACGGTCAGATCGAAACATATAATACACAGCACAAAACCGTCTTTGGGAATCGTTACAAAATAAAATACTAAAAAACATAACGGACCAATAACACCTAAGATTCTCCCAAATGGGAAATACGACATGAAGGTGAAAAAAGACGCTTTTGGCGCGAAAACAAGGAAATTAAAATTTTCAAAATAAAATTACGACCTTTTCCAAGTGAGTTCTGGGGATCTAACGTCGAAAACAGGAATACTATTCAAATATGATTTGAGGAAAGAAGGATTTAATCGAACACCTCAC